AATAAATTTTTTGTATAAAAATCAAAATTTAAAAAATTCGCAGGCAAATTTGCCTGCTCTACAGTTTAAGGGATAATAAATTTAATATTTAAAATAAAAAATATTAGAAAACGTAATATATATAAATATAAATCATAATATATATAAATTTATTATTATATAAATTTATGTAATATTAAAATTAGTTTAAAATTAATAAGATCACTATTTATCATATTATATTATATTATATTATATTTTAGTTTTACTAATTATTCAAAAAATTTAAAAAATTTTTTATACTAAATATATTAATTATTACTTATTTTATTTTTATATAATATTTAAATATTTTATATATAATTAGATATTAACTTAAACAATTAATTAAAGATATTTAATTAATTAAAATTTATGTTAAAAAAATATTAGTATTAATATTTAATAATTTTATATAATAAATTTATTTTAAACTTATATTACTTATATATATAATTTACATAATCTATATAATATAATAAAATACTGTAAACAGTTAACTAAAGTATCCTGAATACAATACAAATTCTCGAATTTTAGGAGTACAATATTATAGGAGAAACTTTGATCAAGAGAGAGGATACAAGTATATTTGCCAAAACTAATAAAAATATGACAAATTTTTATGCATCAAAAATTTGTTAAAAATTTTTTGGCGACATTTCGATTTGAAAATTTAAATTTTTTTCTTTTTTTATCATTTTGATAATTTAAATTTTTTTTCTTTTTAAATCTTATTTCTCTCTTTAATTAATAAAATCTAAATCGTTTAAAACAGCTAAATCTGATAGTTTCTCTTAACTAATCTAAAAAAATAAGCTAATCTTCAGAAAGTTTAGAAGGCGTTGATTCATATTAATATACATATTGATCAACTCCAAATCATAAATCAACATGATACATGATGTTAAACTATGCTATATATCAGAGTTTATCAACATATGCTATTAATATATGCATTTTTCAATGCCAAAATATTGTTTAACGCAATATATGCTATTATACAATACTTGTATATTGATGACTTCACATATTATTACTTAATGAATACAATGTTTTTAAAGGAAAAGGGATTATTATTTTTGAAGCTTTAAGCTGTAACAGTTATTATCACAATTATTGAATACTAAATTAAAACATATATATGTTATTAAAATATTCATTTTGTTTTTCAGCACGTTGAATTATATGTATTAATTCTATAATCGATTCTACAGATACAAAGTTGTATAAATCTGTAAGTTGTAATAATAGATATTCATATTTATATAAACATCATTGATCATTGTAATGAAAATCATACTATCTTATAAATGCAAGATCAAATGACAGATAATTTTCAACTTTAATATTAGTCAACATAAGGACCTAAACATAGAACAACTAAGTTATTATTTGGTACATTATTAATTTAAAATTTTTATTGAATAATATACCTTACCAAAACATGCATCAGCATCCGTATTATACTCTTCATTTTCATCTCCACTCATATTGATTGATACATCGCTAAATGATAGCTCATTATAATACATGCTTTTTGCTCTAATATAATCCTCTCTTAAAACATTAGCATAACTATACCAACGAATTTCAGTATTTTTAGTAACCATTTCTTTGGTTAAATTCTCATGTAAATCAAAAAAATGAATTTAATGCTTGAAGAAAATGGTCTAATGCTGTTAGAACTTCATGAGCCAAAGTATTTTTTGACTTGTAATTACCAAAAAATTCATTAAAATTTTCTAAACAAAATGTGTCTAAAAGGCTATTCATTAACATTTTTTGATGACATTTATTAACAGTTTTATTAGCATGCTAACGTAAGTATTTAACTATTGAACTTCAGTAAACCTATAATAGTAAAATGTAAGTTTGATTAGATAATATTATAATAAAATATAATACTAACTGTTCTAATCATTTGATTCATTGGTTGACACTTGTTACTAGCTCAGTAAGGTTTTTTAACAGTGTCTTTATGTAAAGATTTGTACGTTTCTGTTGTAAACCCATTGATTGCTCTATATTCTTTAATTACTGGAATAATATGGTAGCACTAATTTTGTAACTTTGGTAATCAAAGATCTGATGGAAAAAATAACAAAAATAGTTTTACAAAAGATGCTGCCTAATTTGTAATCAAACTCTATAAAATAAAATAGAAATACGATCATATAACCAATAAAATTAAGTCAAAATATAAAATCAAACATACCTTAAACTCTTCTAAATCTGATTCTAGAAATTGATCTTGTTGACAATATAAATACATCTTATTCCAGCGGTAATAAACATCAACCAATACATTATCATATTGTCTAGCAGTACTCGTTTCTATTAACAGTTTATGGAACTTTATTATTATCTCCTCAACTACAAAAAGAAATACTTTCATCATGTTTTGAAATTTATCAGTCATAAATCATTTGATATTTTCTATACCATGTTTAAATATTTTAAGCCCAGGAAACCTTAGAATTGATGACAAACATTTATCAAGTTCATCAACTACCACTTGGCCGCACAAATCTTTTAACAATTCCTTTATGTAAGTTACTTGGTATTTGAACAAACCCAAGTCAAGATGATGCATTAGGTCAGGAATTGTTGCTGAATAAATATTTAAATAACTGTATTAATAATATATTAAGACATTGGATTCAACGTTTATATAATAATATTTAATTTACTGCTATTCAAATAAATATACTTACAGGTATTTCTAAAAAACATTTTTCATACTAAATAATGAATATTGATCTACAGTACCTTCGTTAATAACAGTTTTCATATTTTCTGATATTCTTAGAATAATTTGATTATTTTCTAGGATTGTATTATTAATTTCATCAATTTCTGTCAAACATTTATGACATGGATATCTACAATTAACAGAATTAAAAACCAAAGTTAATGCAGCAACTTCCAGAAGGTCTCCTAGTAGTACAGAAAGAAACAGATAATACTATAATTCATTATTATTCATTTGAAAGTCAAATTCATCATTTTGATAATCAAACAATAGTCAAGTTAATATATTTAAAGTATATTGATAAAGAGTTCGTTTTGCCAATTTAAATTTTTTAATTTTCCTTTAAGAGATGGTTTTCGCTTTTAATTGTGGTAGATATCCTAAAAAAACTTTAGCATCAGGTTTATTCCTAACCCAACTAGAAATATTTTCTAATGTTAAGTAAATAGGATGTTTGCTAGATTTGTCTAAAGAATCACAAGTTATCGTGTCTGAGTACAAAATAATTGACAAAATATTCGCTCTACCAGAAAGTAAATTTTGTACCCTTTCCCATCATTGCCCATTATATTGTTCATGATAAATTTCTTTGTCCTTCATAATACATTGCCTTAAATTCAAAAACACAATATTTAAGTATATTTAGATTGCTTAACAATTCTTTTATAGCGTCAAAAATTTGATGATAATAAAAGTAATATGTTTCTTCATCATATATTATAATAGGGACTTTGTTAAAAGAGATATATGGTATATTTATTCAATCTAATAACTGACAGCCTTGTTTTACTGATAAAGGTAAATTTATATCATCACGATAAATCTTTCGTGAAAATTTAAGTATATCGCTACACATGCATCTGATAAGTTCTTCTTGATAAGCAATTCCATAAAGTCTCCAAATTCTTCACTTAGAAATTCTGGCCTGTTTATTGTTGAATTTCTAACGTCAATAAACTTGAAGGTTAGAATTGGTTCAATATCAATTAACTTGAAATTAATCTCAATATCATTTTCTGTATCGTCCTCTTCATCCTAATATAGTTTATAATCCAGTAAATTAAAAAGTATATTTTGTATTATAAGTGAAGTATAAATTAACAAAAATTTTACTTGATTATCAGAATCAATCAATTCATCTTCTTGAATGTCAATCAACTTTTTATCTTGAACATCATCCAACTCTTTTTGAATGTCACCCAGCTCTTGAACTTCATCCAACCTTTCATCCTGAATATCAACTAACTCTTCTTGAATGTCATCTAATTTTTCATTTAGATAATTATATTTGATATTCATTTCTATTTCTTCTATTTGGTCTTCATAGTACATTTCTTCCTCACTTTTTAGTCAGATACTTTCTTCAACATTTCTCACTTCTTCTTCACTTTCTTCAGCAATTTTATTTAGAATTCTATCAATTGCACTTTCGTAAGTTTTTATATGGTTTCGTAAAGCAGTATGATGAGAGAAATCCCTTTCACAATGTGAATATTAGTAGCACATTTTTTTAACAATTATGAACAAATGGCATTGAATAACTATAGCTTATTTTTGTCTCCTCTCTCAGTCTTATAACAGGTAAGACATTACAATATTTCAATATATTAAAATTATACATATTTATAATTTAATAATTATTAATTATTAATAATCATAAAAATGACGTTGAATAATGTTGGTCAGATTAAAAAATCATTAAGGGAAAATGAAATCCATTAATGCGAATGTTAAGGCATTTTCTGATAGTGATTAACTACTAATTCTTGGCGTTTTAAGTGAAATAATAATGAATTGCTTTTTAACTCTCTTTTTTTTCTTCCTTCCTTTTTAATTAAATTTATATTTTTTTAAAAATAGAATATAGAAAACAAGAAAGTAAAACTTTCAATTTTAACATTTTATAATGACTAAAAAGAAGATCAACTAGGATCAAGGCAAAAAAAAGGTAATTAATTCAATTATTTTATATGTCGTGTAAATCATGTTTATTTTAGGTCACTTACATAAATTATAATTCTCCTCTAGGCTTCGACTAGTAGGAAGATTTTATTGGATAAAACATATTCAAAAATACGCTATTAACAGATACTGCTATTAAATTACATAAAAATACACGATTATAAGTATACAATCAATTACTCTATCACCACTATTACAAGAAACATTGGATACAATTTTACTTTAACTTTACCATCACAACCAAGTGACGACATTATTCCATAATCTAAAAAAGTAAAAATAGTGAAAATTGATTTTGTTCGATAATAATTCAAGCCTTTTATCTCTAACAATGAAAGAAACATCATCGACAGTATTACCGTTTAATTCTTCTAAAGCATCATCAGCTCGTTCTTCTATAACAGCTGTATCTAAATCTAGAGAAGTTGTCCCTTTCTTCTTTAAAGTAACAACTCACCAAAGTAGAGTTCTTTGTTTATAAACTATTTATTACGTTTAATAACATGATCACATATTTATTAAAGTTTATTATATATACAGCTTCCTCTAAAACATCTATAACTGCAACAATGGCCGTATCTAAATCTAAAGCATTTGTTTCCTCCTGTTTCTCAAAAGTAATAACTTCTTAAGGTAGAGTTCTTTGTTTATAAACTGTTTATTATATTTATTAACACGATCATGTATTAATTAACATTTACTATATATTTATTGTAGCAACTACAAATAAACTAGATCAAAGAAATTTGTCAAAGTTATTACAAATTTGCTAAAAAATGAATTTAACACTCAATGAATTAACAAAAAATCAAAGTAGGTTAGAAGGTATGATTAAAGAACAAACTGCCTAAATTTCTGAATATTTAAAAAAATTTGGAGATATTGAAACTGAAGAAGATAGCAAATTTAGTAAAGGAAAAGGAAAAAAGAAAATTGACAAGTCAAAATCTTTTTACCACATAACTATATATTTCTTATTAATTCTTTTATTTCTACGTCCTTTATTTATATTTATTTGTATTATGATAAGATGCCATAAAACAATTTTTGACTAAATTATTCTACGAACATAATCAATAGATTACGGATAAAGAACTTAAAATTCAATTTAAATCTTTTTTAGAAAGCGATGATTATTGTAGTAGCCAACTTATAAAGCTAAAAGAAAAAGGCATTACATTCAATGAACTCTGGGAAGAAAAAATTTATTCTTTTATTGGTATTTTAATTTATTAATATTATTCATCAATTAACAAATATAATGTGTATTATTTAATAAGTTAATAGCATATACTATCAAAATGTTTAGTTACTTACAGTAGCGGTCATAAGTATCTGATCGCCTCTAACTCTGGCTACAAGTAAGTAAATTCAAAATTTTTTTTTATTTAAAAAATACATAACCAACTAACTA